CTCCAAAGTCCCCATAGGGAGCTCCAGCTGCAGCATAATCAGCCAGACTGGCACTTGACCTCCTCATGTCCACCACTGAAGTCGTCACCTTCAGACATCTCCACTTCCTTACTTAGCTGTCTCACCTTGAGCTCAAACTCTTGGCTGTGAAGTCTATGATCAGGCTGTGTCTCACACATCCCTGTCATTTGAAATGAAGTCATAAACAAGAAAGTCCCAGAGCAGGGCTTCTGCCCTAAAGCTCCGTGGACATCAGTTCTGTGTGCTATTTGTTCTCTCACATGCCAGGACTCCATCATTCCCCTACTCACTTCAAACTGCAAGTCACCCATCAGCTTCCCTGCCTTTCCCAGAATGGAGTCAGTGCTTGGCAGCAGATTGCTTCATTCTCATTCATTCATTCTAAACCTTATTTGCTTCATTACTGGTTGAGGCAGGGGTTCACTGGGTAGCCCCCGGCTGACTTTGAACTTGCAGTCTTCCTGAGTTCTGGGATGACAGAAGTATGCTACTACACCTGGCTCTGGTTGTTTCATGGCTATACAATAAAAGCCAAAGTAGCATGGTTAAGACGCAGACCTCGTGTTACATAGCCCCCCATGGCTAGGCAACCTTATAATGTTCACAAATACTTTATCTCCCAAGTTTCAGCTTGACACACCATCAACCCCTGCATCCTCTTAAGACCTGACTTTGAGCAGAAACCTAACTTACAGATATTTAAAAACAAAATAGAGAACACTCCTCATCTGCCCCCTTCAGGTAAAGATGCATTTAACAACAACTGAGAAAATTGCTGTTTCCAGTTATTGGTGACTTAAAGTCTACCCATCATTGTGAGATTTTGCTTCTGAAAAGAACCTGTGCTATCAGCTAAAATGCGTTTTAATTCTTAAAAAAGTAGGAATGCAACTTTTCAATCCACTTTTAACTCTCCCAAAGAGTTTCAGTGAAATAATGGACTTTTCTGTAAAAATAAAAACATGGTGTTTAAAAAAAAAAGTAGGAGGGAAAGGAAACTGGGATTGGTATGTAAAATAAGATTGTTTTAAAAATACAAAAATAAACACAAAAATATGGCGGCTACTAGTTTAAAAGGATTGAGTGATATCAAGGGAGATGTAAAGGTGTAATCTCAGCAAAACCTTTTCATAATTTGTGGCTGGAACTAAAAACTCCTAGTCAGAAACCCACTCTCTGTATCAATCTGTCTTGCCTTTAAATGACTCTTATGGATGACAACATTGTGAAGTTAAAAATGCTTACTAGTAATAGGGGAATATGAAAGTATAAAACTCACTGGCAAGAAAATAATAAATTCATAATTCATAATCAAATTCATAATATGCTAATGCTGACAAAAATACTTAAAGTCATAATTTGCTGAGAGTTATAGAATATAAAGAAATATAAATTGTGACAACCAAAAGGTGGTATCAAAACATAGAATATTGGAGTGTGTGCGTGCATGCATGCAGGCTTGCTCGCGCGCGTGTGTGTGTGTGTGTGTGTGTGTGTGTGTGTGTGTGTGTGTAGTTATATGCACATGATTATGCTTCTGGGCACACTGGTATTCATGTTCTGAGATCTGTACTCAGTTCCTCATGTTTGTAACTAGCACTTTACTGACTGGGCCTTCTCCCCAGCTCAAATGCTTATTTTTTTCTTTTTTTTTTCTTTTTTTTTTTGCATTCCAATCTCAGTTCCCTTCCTTTTCTCCTCCCGCCCCTCCCCACTCCCTCCACCACCTTCCGTCTGCTCCTTGGAGAGGGTAAGGCCTCCCCTAGGAAGTCTATTAAGTTTGTCCCATCATCTCATTGAAGCAGGACCAAGACACCTCTCAACCCCCATACCCCTCTGTTTAGACTGGGCATGGTATCTCTCCATATAGAATGGGCTCCACTAAGTCAGTTTGTGCATTAGAGTTAGATCTTGGACCCACTGCCAGTGGCCTCATATATTGTGTCAGCCACACCTCAAATGTGTATTTTTATGTGACATGACTTGTTATCCACTTGTTGGCTTGGTATAATGGTTATTAAATGTTTTATGTAAGCTTCATGGTAACCACAAACGAAAGCCTGTGGGATATTTACAATAGACATGTACTGAAAACATAATGATCTGAACCCGGATTCTGATATTTGAATCACTATTATACCCTGATTTGGAAAAAGAACATGAAGCAATTGGATTACATTGCTTTTACTAAAATAACCGAGTTGGTAATGTTAGCGTTATTATTATTCATTAACAATATTTTGTGGCAGCAGAATATTTTTGTATTAAGGAATACATAAATTTTAAGTCTATAGATAAAATATTTAATCTATCTTTGGTTTGATTTTGTTCTTTCTTTTGCTCTGGGGCCTGAAGTCACAGTTTTGCAGGAAATAGACCAAGTACTCTACCATCCAGCTATGCCTGCTCTCCATCTTTGACTTTGGAAGGGTTCCTTTTCACCTGATTTAAAATGCACATAAATAACAGCACAGTGGTAGGTCTACTTACAAACAATGGCTATAGGTTAGGGCAATATCTTCACTGATAAAGTGTGCAATCAGCTGGGCATTGGTGGTGCATGCCTTTAATCCCAGCACTTGGGAGGCAGAGGCAGGCAGATCTCTGTGAATTTGAGGCTAGCCTGGTCTACAAGAGCTAGTTCCAGGATGGGCTCCAAAGCAATACAGAGAAACCCTGTCTCCAAAAAAAAGTGTGCAATCAAAGGGCTTGGTGGGCATTTCTCTGGAATGATTTTTCTCAAATTATGACTCAGGAAGTAGCCCTAATAGGAGTGTGCACCCGACAGCCCAGGAAAGCTGAGTTTGGGCATGATAAGCTGAGATCTGGAACCTGCCCTTCTAATGGGTAGCCGCTGCTTCCGGTGGCTCAAGGCCTTCCTGTGGAAAAGTACCAGGTGGCAGGCATTAGGTGCAGCTGTGAAATATCTTCAGGCCCGTGCCAGCTGCCTCCTTCGAAACCTACCTTGTTCAAACACATACACACCTGGTTGTCAGTGAAGACAATGTTTCCTGAAAGGTGATTCTGCAACCATCCCACACCCTTTAAAAATACACATTGCCCCAGAAAGGTTTTACTGTCTTTCTAGGGGCTTCAGTATGTGTTAACAGCTCTGGGATCATTAGAGGCTACACACTCATGGAAAGCTTTCAATAAGTTCAATTTTCTTATTAGAGGGGCAGATTTAATAAGGGTATACACGTGCTAAAGTGCACAAGGGGGTCAGAGGACAACTGGTAGGGGCAGTTTCCTCCATATGGATTCTGGGGACTTAACTCATTTCATTAGGCTTGGTAACAAGCCCCTTTATGGGAGGAACAATCTCAACAGCCCTAGATTTTTAAATATATGTAAGTAATCACTATAACTATCAAATGTTTTATGCAAGCTCCATGGTAACCCAAAACAACAATCTATTGGAAACATGTAAGGGACCACAGCTTTAAAGACAAATCTTCCAACAAACACACTGCAGAATACAGAGGTGCCTCTACTGTCTGGGATTTTGAGCACCACAGGATCCAGTGCAACTCTGCGTGGTGTGTGTGTGTGTGTGTGTGTGTGTGTGTGTGTGTGTGTGTGTGTGTATGTGTAGCAGTGTCTTGCCTGTGAGCCTGTGACAGTGGCCACACCCCCTTTGGGCGTGGCTTCAGGGAGATGGAATTGGAAAGAGTGAAGCCTGAGGTGTGGCTTCTGTTGCATGTGCTTTTTCTCTTGGGTCAGTGGATCTGATTGGAAGGGCAGAGAAGTGCTCCCATGGTTTTTTATTATTATCTGGGTAAGTGTTCCCCAATAAACACCAATATATCATTTATCTTGGGTCTAGTGAAATCTTTACACCCTCACATTCATGTGTGTTCTTCATGTGTGTCATGGTTTGTCTCTGAAGGTCAGACTACCTCAGGTGTCCGTCTTTGATTTTCACCTTATCTGAGACAGGGTCTCTCTGTGGTTTTCCTGTGCTCAGGCTGGCTAGTTCACAAACTCCCTGGGATTTTCTTGTCTCTGTCTCCCATCTTACCATAGGAACACTGGGATTACAGATGTGCACTACTGAGCCCAGCCTCATATGGGTTCTAGAAATTGAAATTTGGGTCTTCACACTTGTATGGGCTTTACGTACTGAGCCATCTCCTCATCCCTCCCCCCACAGTGTAGCTTTAACCCCAACATCTGTTCTTCAGCCTTATCATTCAAACCTCGAGGAAACACTTCTATATATTGTTTGCCTTCTACCCTCAAACTCAAGGATGATCACACTCTAACCTTGAAAAGATTTGGGCTTTTCACCCAAGAAGCACCAAGAACATTGGCAACAGAGAAAAGCAACTCAATTGGTGGATAAACCTCTGTGCACAGAACGTATGAACATAGCATAGCCTTGCCTCGTGCAACATGGTTCCCATCCCATTGTCCTTCCAGGGTCCCTAACATCATCTTCTTGCTTTTCAATGCATGGTTCTGGAGGGATGTAGCCCATCTTTACAAGAGTTGTACCTGGCAACAAAAGAACATCAGGGAATATTGAATCTGGGGTTATAACTTAGTCATTAGAGTTCTAGCCTTAAGGCACAAAGTCATGGGAGTGCTTGCTGGCACTGCATAAACCTGGCATGAACATGCCTGTAATCCCAGGACTCATGAACATGCCTGTAATCCCAGGACTCAGAAGGTAAAGGCAGGAGGATCAATGTCATCATCAGCTAGGTTGGGATACATGAGGTCCTCTCCTCCAAAAACATCACAGGTATGTCAATAAGTAGGCATTCATGAGTCTGGTACCAATACTATACACTGAAGCCAACTGCTTTTAAAGCAATAGTATTACAATAATTACATATGTGTAAAATATTTCAAACTTAAATAAAAATAAAAGAAAAACTCAGCATTACTTAAATTATATGATCATTATAATTTCCTTCCCTCTTTTAATTTTTGTGTACCTTTTCACAAATAACATATGTAAAGATAATTCCATCTTAAAATTCTTTCATGTTTATTTTATTGTATATTCCTTGGTGAAAATTGTTTCAGATTTTGAACATTTTTAGTAGATTTACACTTGTTTCTAAACCTTTAAAACACAAATCATGAGAGAATATTGGTTCAGATCACAGAATTAGTGATTTTTGCTGAAAGAGAAAAATATATTTCATGATGTAGATGCACTATGAATTATTATTTGTGTTTTATCTTATTTCTCATATGAAGATTGTATTTGTAATAATAAATTTATTTGTTTTGGAGATTTTTCTCAACAAAAAAATCATAATTTCATATAGATTTTCCCCCACCATAATGCTTCATTAAGACACATGTGTTTAGTAGTATATTAGTTTGATGTATAACTTGTAAATATTAGGCAATGGTGTGTGGGCTTTTCATGGTTTTCTTGTCTTAGGCTCCATAAATTTTAGCTGCAAGTTTGAGAAGTCTATAATAAGAGGAAAAAGACAAAACAAACAAAACAGACAAAACAATGTGAGGAGGACCTCGAAGCTGACAGAACTGCTTATAAACCCAAGTTCTGCTTCAAAACAAGGCCATTTGTGACCAGGCTGTGTCTGCAGGATCTCTGGGGCCATTCCAAGACACATTGTTTTTCATTTTCTGTGGGAAGGACATCCTCCACGTTGCAGGAACCTTGGACTGTTCTGTGATTGACCTGGAGAGTGAGGGCTCGTAAGTAAGATGAAGTGTAGCTCTTTTTACCACAGGGTTGGAGCTGTGCAAAGCTGTCCTGCCACGTGATAAGATTCTCCTTGCTCTTCACCTATGCGAAACATCACCTGTAGAATGAAGAATGAACTATGTTAGTGACTCTCCTGCTATTAAGCACAGAGCCCGAAGACATGCATCTGCCCATTTAGCTGCCCCTAATTGTTTAGCCAAGGTTTGCAGCTTTTTCTCCTACCCCATGTGTTATCAAAGGAGTAATGTAATTGAGTGACAGATACACAACCTCTGAAACTGCCTGATTGGGTCCAAATCCCAGCTCCACTTACTTCTACGGTGGGCAATCCTGTTCCCAGATGTGCTCTTCTACCATATAGGGACTAATGACTTCTTGCCCTAAGTGGCAGGCAGCTGTGGGAATGGTATGAGTTACACCCCTATATACATGTGTGGGTATACAGTCAGTGCTGTATATGTAAAACTGTAAGGTTTTTTGTGTTCCTTTTTATGAAAGTCTGGAAGAAAGGTATCAGGACAAATGTCCTGGGGTGACACCTCTGCAAGTCCAAGAAGAAGTGGAGACATTTGGATATTGAAAGGTTCCCCTTGCCTGGACTTCAGGCCATTTCAACTGCCCATTAATTAGACAAACACCTTTTCTTCCATCCAGAGCTTTCCCTGTGCCTATGACATCACAGCACATTTAAAAATCACCAGTGAAAACAAAAATCCTAAGACGCCTGTGACCTTGCAAACTACTCAGTATCAGCGGCCTGATCTGAGGGACAGTGGCCCAAATACTTGGGAAGCAGCCAGCCGCCCATACGGGGAACAAATGGAGACTTTTCTCCATAAGCACCACCACCATACAGACAGGGTTATGCAAACAACACCTCTCTCCAACTCTGCTATCCCATCCATCCACAGGTATAAGAGGTTTGTACGAGTGAGGGGTGGAGGCAGAGTTTGGCGTAGACCTGGAAAGGAGGAAAAACAGGACCTAAGCTCAGTGCATTTCTTGTTACAATACTTCCCCCACCCCTCTTTTCTTCCTTCAATGGAAGCCCTAAAAATCTCTCTTGAGGGTTTGGGCATAAAACTTGAAAAAGCCTGATGTAAGAAGTGAAAATACTGTTTTTCAATCAGGCTCAAATTTCTGAAATAATGTTCTCTTTTTGCATGTTTTGGGAAGGATGTTGGTAATATTGTTACAAAATCTTTAGCAGACACATAAAGTGGTCATTCTATCATCTTCACGCTCCCCCATGCCTGAGCACAGATGATTTATAGATTGAGCGGATTTAAGCAATCTTTATATCACATACCCTAAACCTTTTGAGATGAGGTTTATTTTTCTGTGCTTTACTAACGGGTTGTAAAGGAGACCAGGGCCATGTCTTTCAAATCAAACGATGTGCTTCTTGGCATGGGGCTTTTCATGCAGGTGCCCAATAAATAGTTATGATTGATTATTTAAAAACAACAAAATATAGTCTATACTTTTGTGGGTGTTTTTCTGTATTGGGACCTGGTGAGTCGATCAGCCAGAAAACAGTAATTCCTAAAAATTAATCACCATCATCCACTTACAAAGATAGCATTAAAACCTAGACACTTGAAGATATATTGAAAACTAAGAGGAGGAAAGAAGGAGGGCAGGAGAGAGGGCTGTAGAGTGGGAAAGAGGGAAGGAAGGACAGACATGGGAAGGATGAACATGGGGAAGGGAGGAGGGACAGGAAAGAGTGAAAGAGGTAAGAAAGTTTGGAGTTTTTAAGACAGTGTAAAGATAACTGGGCTGTTTCTCTATAAGCACACATAGCAAGTCTGAGCAGTGGGTGGGAGGGCAGTTTCCAGTCTCCCTCCCAGCTCTCCTGGTTGTAGCAGCTTTTGTTACCTAAACAGCACTTTTCTTGAGCCCACCTTGGACCACTAAGATCATCTTGGTACAAATATATTATTTAGGGCACTGACTACTGTAAACACAAAGGAAGCCTCAAAGATAGGTAATAAAGTAAGATGTTTATTTGCCTCTTAGTATTTCAAAGTTGAGTGTCAGTGACTATTGCCCTCCTTTGAGCAAACTTCAAACCAACCTGAGCTGGAGAGATGGCTCACCACTTGCTGCTCTTGCAGAAGACACGCGGTTGATTCCCAGCATCCACATGGCAGTCCACAACCATCTCTAACTCTATCTCCAGGGGATCCAATACCATCTTCTGGCCTCTGAGGGCACCAGACATTCACATAAAGTACATGCGTACATCCAGGAATAAAAAAATCACAGACTGTATATTCATACATCCAGGGAAAGCACACACACACACACACACACACACACACACACACACACACACACACACACACACACGCCTGTTTTGGCTCCTGAGAATTGCTTTAACATTTTTACGTAGTTGGAAAAAACTGTATTTGTAGCATGGGAAAATTGCATGAAATTCAATTTTCAGTGTCCATTTAAATAAAAATTGATTGGATTTATTGAAATAGACCAACACTCTTTCAACTTATAGACAAAGAGTAGTCAGTGGTTGCTTTTACACATAATGGCAAAGATGACTAATACAACCCAGTCTATATGACCCCAAGACTGAATATTAACTGTGCTGCAATTTACAGAAGTTGTCTGAACCCAGTTTCAAGTGGACCAGAAGGCTCTCACCCATGTGTTCCATTTGAAGCTTTGGGCTCCTTTCATCTTTGATAATGCTGTTTGCCAGCTGGAATGGTCATGGTCTGCTATGCACTGGATATTTTCTTCTCAAAAATCATATGTTGAAGCCCAATGCAAGCGAATTTGGAAATATCTTTGTGATAGTTAATATTGGTTGTCAACTTAATAAGACTGAATTGCCTAGAAGACAAGCTTCTGCTTGTTGGGAGAATTTCTTCTATAAAGGACAGGGAGGCTGCACACACAAAATCTCAGCAATACAATTGACTAATTAAGACCCACATAATGATACTACCAGTTGATGTGCCATTGTGAAGAGGGGAAACATTCACAAAGATTCCACACCTAGAGGGAGAGCTGCAGGCTACCAGCTGCTGAGAAAGAAGAATCAGTTTTCTCACAGATGAACCGTAAGCCAGAGCCACCAACAGGATATCCAATATCAAGTTGTTTAGCACTAAACACATATGCATATAAGCAATACTAAATGGAACTAGTAAATTGTGATGTATGTGGTGTGTGTGTGTGTGTGTGTGTGTGTGTGTGTGTTAGAGAGAGAAAAGGAAAAAGAAGAAGGAAGAGAGAGGTCATGATTTGAAATGAAATGATCGAGTAGAGGGAACATAGAAAGAGTTGGAGGGAGCGGAGGTGGGGTGGAAATGGTTAAATACAGTACTCAAATGAAATTCTCAAAACTAAAAAAGTTTAACTTAAATAAAAAATAAGACAAATTCTGTGCAAAGAGCCACGAACCACTGCTGCTCAGTTCACTTTCAACTTTATGTACACCAAGCCCAGCAAACAGTGCTGTTTCCCACCTCGATTGGCATTAACTAGTCATTGTGGTAGGTATTTTCTTTTTCTTCTCTCTGTGTCTCTCTGTGTCTCTCTGTCGCTCTCTCTGTCTCTCTCTCCCTCCCTCCCTCCTCCCTCTCTCCCTCCCTCCCTCTCTTCCTTTTTGTTGTTGTTTTGTTTTCTTTTTCAAAAACAGAATTTCTTTGTGTAGCCCTGGCTGTCCTGGAACTCACTGCTTATCTGGCCTTGAACTCAGAGATCTACTTGCCTCTGCCACCTGAGTGCTGGAATTAAAGGCGTGCTCCACCATGGCCTGGAAAGTGGGTCTTAATCTAGCTACTAGGTTAAGATTCTCGTAGGATTTTTGTGCTATAAGACAAGAAGGACTACTCAACCTCCCCTTTCCTCCATCAACAGAAATGGAAACCACTAGAAGTTTCTAGACCAACTCAGTGGGAGAGGAGTAACCCGGAAACTTCACAGATTGATCCAACTCACACTCACCTCACTGATGGTCTTTTTCAGATATTTTATACATAGATACTGGAGCAACTATAAAATGAACTCAGAGAGCATAGATTGGGGAGTCCTATGAAATCTTGACACATATTAAATTATACACAGAAGAATTAAAATTTAAAATCTGGTTATCTGACATCCATTAGGTTCCATTTTGAGTCTTATTAGGTAGGAGTCAAGTTTTGCTATATTCATTACACTAGATTCTTTCCTTCCTTCCTTCTTTTTCTTCCTTCCTTCCTTCTCCCCCTCCCTCCCTCCCTTTCTCTTTCCTTCTTTCTTCCTTCCTTTATTCCATCCTTCCTGCTTCCCAAGATAGGGTTTGACTACATTGCCCAGCTCTCCATCTCCTAGACTTAAGTAATCCTCCCAACTTTGTTTTTGGCGTAGTCAGGACTATAAGCAGAACCACTTTTGACATAAAGGAAAATTGTTTGGCAAGCTAGAATGGTGTTCTAAAAATAACTTTATTGTTGGAGTGTTTCCAGGTCCCTGAAGAACACCAATATAGCTATGTTCCGTGTGCACAACACAGAAGGCACCTGAGCTGTAGTTCCTTCATACTTTGGTACTGAGGGGCAAGGACTCCTTCAACCACTAGGAAATAGAATGAGACACCCTACTTGGGTCTCAGTTTATTGATTGCTTATTATTTAAATTTTACATATATAGTTATTTTTAATTGCAGTGAAAAAATTGCATTTTTAAAGGGACCGGGCAAATATTATCAAGGAAGTTTATCTTGCCAGGCATTGTGGTACAATGCTATAACCCAGCTCTCAGAAGGATGAAACAGGAGGATCCTGGGTTTGAGGTCAACCTGGGTTACATGGTGAGACTCTGTCTTTAAAATATATTTATTTTTTTTAATTATTGGGACTGGAGAAATGGCTCAGCAGTTAAAAGCTCTTGTTCTGGCCAAAAAACCCAGATTCAATTCCCAGTACATAGATGCAACTAACAAGCATCTATGCGTCTAGACAAGGAACTCAGAGCCCTCTTCCGACCTCATCAGGCACCAGGTGCGTACTTGTACATGCACAAATGTACATGCGGGCAAATCATTCATGGATATAAAATAAATCTAAAATGATAATAATAATAATGAAGTTCTCATCTTGATTAGCTGCTTTGTGTGTGGGGAGGAGCTAATATCCATGGAAAACTAAGCAGGGAGAAGGTGGCAGCTTGCTCAGTGCTTGTACAAACAACCCCATCTTACCCCAGACTGCTCACAAGGCCCAATCACTCCTTGTTACTAAGAAGCTGAGTGTGGGTGCCCCTGGCTTCCAGGAACATGCCACTGAAACTACTGTCCTGCTTCTGAGTTGATAAAAGGCAAGCCCAACCATCTGCATCAGAACCACAGCCAGGAAGCGTGTCAGTGCTGCGTGTCCTGGCATCACAGATGGTATAATACTGAAAGTCTTTAGAGTGCAAAATGCTCTTAAAAATGAAGATTAAATGTATTAGAGCACCCTGGTCATTCTTGCTAGAACAGCCTACACCTGGAACAAGATTTCCCAGAAACAGAAAAGTTACTTCAAATTAGCAGGGAGAAATTACCTATTAAATTCCATGGGCTAATCAGCTACTCAGCTGAAAACTTTTAACTCCCAATTTACGTCTCTATCTCACAAGACAATTAAGTTTCAGAGGAACTGAAGAGCCAAGTGTGGACAAATTTTAATAGTATTAAAAGGAAGTGTAGTGGGGCTGGAGACATGACTCAGTGGTTAGGAGTGCCCATTTCAGAAGAACCTAGTTCAGTCCCCAACACTTATGCTGAGTGACTTCCAGATACAGGGAGTCCTCTGGCTTCCATGGCATCCCACTCATGTGGTATACATTCACTTAGACACACACACACACACAAATAAAATGCATCTTTAAAAATGGGAAATAAAGAAAAAAATTCATCAATAAGAGACAAAACCAAGTGTAACAAAAAGAAAAAAATGACATATATGGGTCACGCTTAAACCTTCCAGAAGATAGAGACAACAAGGGTAAAGGTGGAGCACAGGCCAGCAGGGTATTTATCATATGTAACCCCCACACACACACACATGCACAAATGTACACACACACATGCACACACACAAGCTTTCTCGGTCAGTAAGCCATCTAAAAGCATAAACAAATGTAATTTGATTTAAAAAGTCAAAGAGCTTATCCATTCACAGTGCTGCATATCTGTAATTTTAGAAGTAAGGAGACTGAAGAAGAAGGAGTTTTATGAGTTCAAAGCCAGCTTGGGCCACATAAAATCAAAGCACTTCTAATAACAATAACAAAAAAGAAAGAAAATAAAGGTTCTCAAACAATGAGATACTTTTCACTGTCCAGGCAGATTACAAACACTGAAAAACAAATACTGTATATTATAGGAGGAAAGGGGACCTTGGCGATGTGTGTGTATCATTGGGATGGAGTGAGGTGGGCTTCGAAAAAGACTTAAAATGAAGGAAAATGTGGAAATTTTGGTCAATTTATAATAAAAAAACATGTTTCCTTCAATTCTACTGCGGTGCAACTATCTATAAAAAATGCTTAAATGTGAATAGGAAGACTCATACAGAAGGATGTGTGATGATTTTATAAAAATGAAAACCAGAGCAGAAATGCTTGTGTGGGGATGACTGAATGAATTATTGAGCACTATGCAATAGTGTAAAAGGATTTACAGCTACATAGAGTATATACAAAAGTTCTCCATGACGTCACTTAGTGAAAAAGGCAAGTATTTTAGTTTAATAGCAAGCTTTTTTGTTCAGCATTGGCGTGACAGTGTACGTTCTTGTATACAACATGGTCTCATTTATTTACAGACTGAAAGAAAAACTGTGCTTCTAATCACGTGTGTGATGGCACTGAGAGCGGTCAAAGGGATGTGTGTGCAGTAGAAGGTGGACTTGGGCCATTTGCTGCTCTGAAGAGTTAACTTACAGGAAAGGCTCCGCCCACTCTCCAGATGTTGGTATGCCTGTAGTTACATTGCAAACAAGCCACAGGCTTTGTGGGACACCTTTTAGAGCCCGCTCATATTTCCACCTTTCCCTCACTGGCCTGCTGTCCTAGAGAACCGA